GCTTTTCATACTATATTTATCTTTTATCTAATACATATTAAGATAACCCCTGAGGATTATAAAGTCTGATTTACAGTTTAGTTAATTTCACTGGTTATCGTTGTTTAATATATACACTCACTAAACTGTACCTTCAAGGTGGCATCTTTAGTATCTTTAGTATCTTTAGTTAGGGAACAGAGCTGTCATATTCTGTTGCAGTCATATTTTTAATTGTATTCACTTTATATATATATATATATATATATATATATATATATATATATATATATATATATAAATATATATATAAATATATATATATATATATATATATATATATATATATTATTTATTTATTTTTATACAGCAGTCTTCATTTTATTACAGTGGAGTACATTATATGATGTAATTATTTTTTCCAGTCAGTGATCAAAACACAAGTATGTTCCAGAAACTACTGCTGTGTCTGAGATCATCACCCAAAACAAAACAGATTTTACATTAAACAAAACTTCAGTTACGTTGAATATTTTTACATTATTTCATGCTACAAACACCCACATGGGGTTCCCACTCACGTTTACTATCAATCACACCTTCTTTCTACACTACTCATAAATCCACAGTTGGATTAGCAAATCTACAAATTACATTACTACTATTATTCATGCACATTATAAAACAGTCTATATGTTCCTGTTTCTTGGTGAGGTTATTTATATAGTACTGCATAGTGATTCTACTTGGCCATGTTGACTTAATTTATGTGTAGCAAATTGCTAGTGTTTAACTTCTTGGTCCCTAATGTGCTCAAATTCTAAGGTTTATTATGAATTAACTAATAACAGTGTAAACTGATTGAGTTATTAATAGGTTATGAGAGTATAAAATATAAGTGTGAAATGACCCAAAATACTTCAAAGTCACTGAGATTAATGAATCAGACTGACTCATTAACACATTAGTATTCAGAGCTCTGAGCTGTGTTGACCACTGACATTTACACCGCCTTTACGTTTAGCTTTACAGAATAGATGTTTGCTTTTACTAAGGCAAAAACAACAACAACAAAAACAACAACAACAATAATAATAATAATAATGTTTCATATATTGTCTTTCTCATACCCCAGATCACTTAATAAAAACAATGTGCAAAAAAGAAAAGAATGTACTGGATGAAGTGAAACATCTCTTTGTAGGTATAAAGTGGAGCTGAGGGCTGATTAAAGGTTAAAAGTTACAGTAGTAAATCCCAGAGTCAGAGAGAGTGAGGTTCTTTATCACCAGTGATGAATCACTGTTTAATACACTGTATCTGTTTTCTGGATCAGGTCTGTGTTTCTGGGTGATTTTTCCATTTTCACCACCGTTAGCTTGGCACTAACTTAACACTGTTAATCCAATAGAATGCTAGCAGAAAATTGCATCACTGTACTGTACTGTAGTGTTACAGAGTGAAGGGTTCTAGCACTTGATGTTAGAACCAGTGAGGGAACAAATTACAATGACAGGTCTCTACTATCTCACGTCTCCCTCTCCAGGCCTTCACTCCTCAGTGACTTCACACTCAGTGTGATGTCAGAGGGGGTTCAGGGGAGAGGCTGATGGGTATTTGGTTGCTGTGATGTAATGTAGTATTTAAAGTGAGAGTGCTGGGTAAGTAAAGCACATTGTAGCAGTGATTCTAGGCTGGACGGCCTGTTTGGAGCATCTGAATTTCATCTGAATATTCAGGACTGAAGCCCTGAAGACGCAGCTCTAACAGCACCAGTGCTGAGAAATGGAAATCCCATAAATAAACTCTGTATCTGTCTTTACTGTCTCCAAGCTGGGACTGACTTCTTTGGCACTGACAGTATAACATGTTATTTAACACCCCTTATAATGCATTATATTAACAGTTCATAATGTATAATAAATGTGGCTATAAAGTGTAATTCATTCTTATAAATGTTTATAACCATGTTTATAATGCCTTATGAATGCATTATAACATGTTATAAATCTGTTTATAGATGCTTACAAATGTGACATTCATAGAAAGTGTTACCAATAAAACATATAATTTTGAGGAAAGATTTGTTTTCCAGAGCATCACAACATCCACGGTATGATAAGTCTTCAGGGAGGTGCTTGTCAGAATTTGATGATGGCAGGCTGAACATAATTTGAGGTAAACAAATTACAGGCAGAAGAATCATGAAATAGGATAAGAACAATAAATAATTTGGACTAGATGTGACAGACTGTCATACTACTCATTAGAGAGACACTGAAAGTTTGGGCCTACATTTTAGTTTAAATGCCCACCAGTGGTTGGATATTAAGGCCACAGAGCGCTGCAGTGTGGCATCCTGTAACAAAGCACAGCTATACTAGAACACATCGCAGTGAGAGTGACGACAAACATCGAGTTGAAGTTCATTTTGTAACACCATGTCAATGAGCATCTATAAACACATTCACAACATGTTGTAATGCATTAAGAAGGTGTTATAAACATGCTAATAAATATTTATAAAATTGAATTACATTTTATAGCCACATTTATTATGCATTATGAATTGTTAACATAATACTTCATAAGCTGTTCATAACAGTCTCAGCTTGCAGAGTGCAATATGACTAACAAACCTGTCTACACATAAACACTCACAGCATTTATTTATTATTATGGGTGTAGATTATTATGTACTATTAAAACACCATTATAAGAGCTTGTAAGTTGTAAGTGAGACATATAAGTTTACTCACGTCCATGGCATTTCCAGTATTTTATTTCTCAGCACAGACATCGTCCTTTGACGCTTAAGTCCCAAATAATTCGATGCCAGCCCTGAACAAATTGTCCAGCTCAGAGTTATTAACATGATGCAAACTCTAAAAACAATGCCTTACCTATGTTTAACCTCTTGTTCCTTAATATGCTCAAACTCTAAGGATTATGCAGTAACTAATAATACTATAAAATGACTGAGTTATTATTAGGTTATGGGTGTGAGTAACTGGACATGTGATATCACCCACACTTCTTTAGAGTCACTGAGGTTAATGAGTCAGACTAACACATTAGCATTTACTGCCTTTACATTTAGCTTTACAGGATGGATTTATTTGTCACTGTGGGTATAGACTGTTACTGAGAGACATATGATATTATAACCCTATTATAAGAGCTTGTAAGTTGTATTTGTCAGCTGTAAGTAAAGTGAAACATATATGTTTATTTACTCCATGGCATTTCCCATATTTTATTCCTCATCCATAAGACTGTCAGGGCTGGGCCTTCAGGGATTCAGCCCTGAATTTTTTCATGCCAGCCCTGAACAAGTTCTGGCTTCTAGGCATGGAGAGTGAGAGGTAAGTCAGTAGAGAGCTATCATTGTTATCTATATAACATGAGGCACTAGAAAGTAGGCTTTGTTTGTCTGATTATCATCACTACAGTAATGTTAATTTTTGTTAGCATTCTATTGGATATGCAGTGTTAAGTTAGCGCTAAGCTAACAGTGGTGTACAACTAGTGGTGTAAACACTACTAGTGACACCACTAGTTTAAACTGACATTTAAAGCTTATAATGTGCTTCACTTTGTATATTGCAGTGTTTCACTAAATCCTTCAGTAAATCTTTCAGAACCTAAAGCCTCACTCTTAACACTGGAGGGGCTTTTAGTATAAAACATGCCTCACTTTACTCAGAGCTGACAAATACGACTTATAAGCCCTTATAATGCTGTTATAATATACATCTATACCCCCAATATCTAACAATCCACTCCCCTAATGGCAAATAAGTTCTGTGTGTTTATGACTGGGCAGGTTTGTCAGTCATAATGCAAGTTGGGACTGTCTTATTTGGCAAAATACATGCATATTAAACATGGCTATAAAATGAAATGCATCTTTGTACATTTTTATAGCCATGTTTCTGGTGCCTTATGAATGCATTATAATGTGTTATGTGTTCATAGGTTCATAAAAACATTTATAGAGAGGGTTACAGTTCATTTTTACACTCTACTTATCTAATAAATCTTTCAACATTATCACATTTAGTATCAGTTTACTGCCTCTTCACAAACTCACTGTTTTTGAGTTGAAAAACGTGATAACGTTAGCAATTCTCTGTTTATCTAAAGACAGACTGTCTTTCTCTCTGTGAATTTTGGGCTGCATGCGGTTTACTGTGGCTTTCTGTGGTCTTGAAATGGCTTTATTTTAATGTGGTAATGACAGATTGATGAGTGGTGCTGGGAACAGAGTCAGCAAGTGTCACTGTGTGAACTGTAAATGCCAGCGCTGGTGTGCAGACCTTCCTTAAAAACAATGATTTCCATACTTTGGATGCTGCGTGACACCAGCCTTTAGTGTAACTGACTGCTGATCTAACTAAGACCTTATGACTTGATTGTGAGCTCTTAGTTGACTGAAACATGGTCCAGGCTGATACTGGCTGGACTGTCTGAGATATATATTTTACAGTACTCTCTGCAGTACCACACAGCGTTTGTCAAAACTTGCATTACCATCAAAGCTAAAGAGTACAGTGGCCTCTTGTTATCTTGGGAAAGTTGGGCAGTGTGTATTTAAAAAGGATGGAAACCCATTCCTGTATGAACTTTGCTGAGTCATGAAGCGGTTTATCATGTCATATTCCGGTTAAACAGCGCTGATATCAACGTAAACGCGTCTACACATGGCCTAGACTTTTAGCAATTGTTGCTGCCGTTTTCACACAGGTACTCAAATACTCATTCCCAATACATGCGACACTGCCTTTAGATTTGGTCTGGTCGAAATAAGGCCCCTTAGCGGACAGCTGACTTATGTTGCCTTCAGAATAGGACAGCCTTCATCTCAGGAGCGCAGAAATGCTGCCGTAAAATGGTGCCTACTTAGACAGCTGCCTCCTGATTGGCCTGTACTATATATTCTAGACATTTCTGAGAACAGAGGTTTCTGGGTAAGCTGTAGCTCATTCAGTACATTCACTCTAGTGGAAAAGTGAAGTCTTACTTGGTTGTTGGGTAGATGTAGATGTAGATGTGCTAGATGTCGATATTGGTGTAGTTCCTTTGGTTGTTGACTCTGTAACACAGAAAAGACAGAAGGCTGTAATGATGATATGCAGTGTTAAGTTAGCGCTAAGCTAACAGTGGTGTACAACTAGTGGTGTAAACACTACTAGTGACACCACTAGTTTAAATTCTGACATTTAAAGCTTATAATGTGCTGCACTTTGTATATTGCAGTGTTTCAGTTAATCCTTCAGAACTTAAAGACTCACTCTTAACACTGGAGGGGCTTTTAGTATAAAACATGCCTCACTTTACTCAGAGCTGACAAATACAACTTATAAGCCCTTATAAGTTGTTATAATATACATCTATACCCCCAATATCTAACAATCCACTCCCCTAATGGCAAATAAGTTCTGTGTGTTTATTACTGGGCAGGTTTGTCAGTCGTAATGCAAGTTGGGACTGTCTTATTTGGCAAAATACATGCATATTAAACATGGCTATAAAATGTAATGCATCTTCGTAAATTTTTATAGCCATGTTTCTGGTGCCTTATGAATGCATTATAATGTGTTATGTGTTCATAGGTTCTTAAAAACATTTACAGAGAGGGTTACAGTTCATTTCTACACTCTACTTATCTAATAAATCTTTCAACATTATCACATTTAGTATCAGTTTACTGCCTCTTCACAAACTCACTGTTTTTGAGTTGAAAAACATGATAACGTTACAGAGGTTTCTGGGTAAACTGTAGTTCATTCAGTACATTGGGTCCAGTGGAAAGGCATATTCTTAACTTGTTTTTGAGTAGGTGTCTCTTTAGATCTACTACCTGTAGATGTAGATGTGCTAGATATAGATGTTGGTGCAGTTCCTTTGGTTGTTGACTCTGTAACACAGAAAAGACAGAAGGCTGTAATGATGATCTCTCTGATTTCAGTTCTAAACTCTACTGCACAATGCAGAAGAACACAAATGAAATGTTCAAACTGACCAGTTTGTGCCTTGACTAAGAGTCAGAGCAGCAAACAGGTTTGTTTTTTATGCCGTGTGGAAAGGTTTTCATCCCAGCTCTGTACCTCAGCCCCAATGAACAGCAGTAAAAGAAACTAGAAGAGAATTAAATTTACCACAAAAAAAATATCTACACTTGGATCTGTCACAGGGGTGAGCAGTTCTGATCCTGGAGACCTGCCACCCTGGAGAGTTTAGCTCTAACATACACTATATGGTCAAAAGTATGTGGACACTCCTCCTGTTGAGTTCAGGTGTTTCAGCCACACTCATTGCTAACACGTGCATAAAATTAAGCTTTGCAGTCTCGATAGACAAACACTGGCAGTAGAGGGTCGTACTGATGAGGTCAGTGGACATAGGATGCTGCCTCTGCCACAAGTCAGTCTGTGACATTTCTGTCCTGCTAGATCTGCCCCTGTCAACTATAAGTGCTATTATTGTGAAATGGTAGCAGCTAGGAGCTTTATAGAAAAAGCAGTGGAGGAAATGCTGACTGTTTCTCAGCCTTTCAGTGCACAAAAAATGTGCTTGCAGTTCTGATGTAAGTAGCTGTTAGTAGTTCATTTCTTTTTATTGTGCACAATAGTGAATAGTGTTTTTGTAATTTTGTATTTTGCTATTTGTTTAAAGGGGAGATCAGTTAGATTTCTGTTTACACATGCAAAAAAGTCTGGTCTTGCCTAACATCCAGTCAGAAGCACAATATTATAATAATAATTCATCACTTCTCATATCGACATGGTGATTTCCAACAGCTTTATGAAACATTTTACGTCAATGTCATGCAGCTCTAACATACATTACAATTGTATAATTATATCAGATCTGCATACAGAATACCAGAACATTAGAATAACTTTGTCTGTAATAGTATTTTACAGTGCCCTGCACAAATATTGGCACCCCTGGTAATCATGAGCACAAACTGTAACAAATATTCTTAATTACTTATTCTTTTCATATTTCACTCAGAATATTAGCAAAAATCCAACCTTTACTAAAAGTATAATGATTGAAAGAAAAAAACACATCCTGAAATATTCTTTTTTTCTAAATCTGTGTGCCACAATTGTTGGTGCCCTCTCAGGAAATGTACTGAAGTGATTTGAAACATATCTGAAAGGAAGAAAATATTTAATTAGTATAGGAAAACATCTCTCTGAAGAGTATGATTTTTGTGGTGTACCACAGAGCTCCATACTAGGCCATTTTATTTTTATTATATATGTCACATATATGTTATTTAGATGAACTGTTTTAATCTGTAAAACTAAATTATACTAGTTCCCTGAATAAACAGGCAGCCTGTCTGTCAAGCATTATTACATGGATTTTTTAACTAAATAAAAATAAGATAAATCAGATTCGGGAGTAATATTTAATTGAACATTATCATTTAAATCACATCCTGAGCAAATTACAAAAACATTTAAGAAACATAGTCAGGCCTTTTCTCACGCTGCATGATACTGAGAACCTGACACATGCTCACACACGCCTTAGTCTTTAGTGGTTTACCAGAAACCACAGTAGACCAACTGCAACTCGTTCAGGATGCTGCAGCTACAGTAACAACACGTACTAGAAGGACAGAACATACTACACCGTTTAGCTTCACTGCACTGGCTGCCTGTTTCTTCTAGAACTCATTTTCAGATCCTTTTGTTGGATTTTAAAGCTCTTGGTTGATTAGCACCAAAATACATCTCAGAATACCTGACAGAACACGTTCCAGGAGTATTTACAGGTCATCAAGTTTTGGCCTGCTAAACGTTCCAAAAATGAAGTATAAAAAGTGGAACAGCTTTCTGTCATTAGGCTCTGACACACTAGATATACGCTGGCTTTTCATTAGTAATGACTGCTTCATCTTAGATATATAGTTTGGTTTAATTGCTGTAAGACAAATATCCAATTATCAATATGAGTAATACACATCAAAGTTTGACAGATATACTTCACTATGAAAGTGTGGAGGGCCAATGCCCCAAATACACTATATGGCCAAAAGTATGTGGAAACCTGGCCATCACGCCTATATGAGCTTTCTGGACATCCCATTCTAAATCCATAGACACTAATATGGAGTCGGCCCCCCTTTGCAGCTCTATCAGCTCCCACTCTTCTGGAAAGCTTTCGACAAGATTTTGGAGAGTGTCTGTGGGAATTTGTGCCCATTCATCCAGAAGAGCATTTGTGAGGTCAGACACTGATATTGGGCGAGAGGGCCTGGCTCACAACCTCTGTTCTAGTTCATCCCAAAGGTGTTCAGTGGGTATGAGGTCAAGGCTCTGTGCTGCCCACCGGAGTTCCTCCACACCAGATTCATCCATCAGACTGACAGATAGTGATGAGTGATTAATCTTGCCAAAGAACATGTTTCCACAGCTCCAGTGGCGGCGTGACTTACTCCACTCCAGCCGACACTTGGCATTGTGCATTTTGATCTTAGGCTTGTTTGCAGCCACTCAGCCATGGAAACCCATTTCATGAAGTTTCAAATGCACAATTCTTGTGCTGTTGTTGCTTCGAGGCATTTTAAAAGTCTTTAGTGAGTCAGACAACACAGCAGAGGCAGTTTTTAGGCCCAACGCTGATTCAGCACTTAGCGGCCCCTTTTTATTATCACACTTTTTATTTTAGACAAAAAAGGATCTAAAGAAAGGATCTAAACAGAGAAGAATAGATTCTAACATGATTCACTCCCTATGCTGATTAATGCTGAATGGACTAAGACGTTCCACTGCAGTTCTAAAGGAGAACAGGGACTTTTCCCGACTTCACACTGTTTTCCTCGAGTTGGCTTCTGGTAGACACTTATTGAAGTAACAACACTTTTACTTTGGTATGGTTTTAGGTTACTAATCCAAATCTGTATACCATGATTTTCATAACGTGAGTTTAGATTGAGCTGAAGAAACACAGACACAGAAGTGCACAGTGCAGAGAGTGCAGGCCTGCAGAACGTGGGTTAAAGCACACACCTGTGGACACTACAGCTGCTTTGAGTTCAGTTTAAAAGCTGACCACCTGCACTACTGTCTCTACAAATGAAACCACAGCTGAAGTTCCTGTTGCAGAATGCTTGTTGTAGACACTGTCTGTTCAGAGACAGCACACTGTGTGGGACTGTTTATGCAGCTTTTAGTGCAAGCCCTAGTAGCCATTCTACTGCCAGAATAGAAATCTGCCCAATTAAAAATAAGATTTTTAAGTACTATAATCATATAAAATATGTGTCTCAATAATTATATTTAAAAAATGTAATGTATAAAACTATGTTAAGCTGCTAGTGAGCAATGAAGGGTGAAAGGAGGGGAGGTGAGAACCCCCTGCTGTAAAAACAATCCACACCTTCTCACAAAGACGGCCGAGCTGAGATAAAATGATCAACTGCAGCTTTCTTCATATCAAACAATCTGGTACAACTGACATATTAAAAAACAGCATTTAAACAATATAAAAACATTTTATTAATATTGACCTGTCTGCTCAGCTACAAGGATGAAAATCCAATTTCTGTCATTTGAATATGTTCCACCAGCATTACAACTGAGGGACCTTCAAAACAGCATTGGATTTATGGCTACTGTGAAAAAGGGCTAAACAAGAAAAGAAGACTCACCTGTTGCCTCAGGTATCTGGGTTTGACCATCTCCACTGTAATTTTCACTGGAGTTCCCTGAAGAACAGCAGGAGACATCAGGAGGATCAATGGCAAAGCTCTCATCCGCTAAACAGATTTTCTCAGGTTAAATATCTGAACAGCCTAATTTGTAAACAGAGCTGAACTCTCTGCTGTCACAGAGTAGCAGTTAAATCAGTCGGTCTTCCATCATAGAGCTGAATAGAAACTTGTTGCTGTCTGAGATCAGCAGCAGGACACTTTAGTTGTGGTCACTTGGTGGTTTAAACTGCTCTGAGTCTGTTTTCATTTTTCCTAGCTAGTGTTCCAGAACCTACAGCTGTACCTGAGGTTGTCTACCACCCAACAGCTCTGGGTCTTACACCTTTGTTAGAGTTTCGGTAGAGTTGGGGGTAGATAACCTACTGAATTAGTTCACACTGAGGTGGCGAGAGAGATATTTACAAAAATGATAAACTACTTAAATTCAAGGCATTAATAGCGATAGCAATAAGCTAAATATATACAAAATCATTATTTTTAAGGTACTTTCTATTGGGAGGTGTCTGTCCTAAACCCTAACCTCTAAATTTACACTTCTGAAAATAATATTTAATTTTTTTTTCCTTCTTCAGTGTAGTTTAAAGACATTTTTGATTTCTTTTAAAGTGAAGTTGAAAACATTAGATTTATCATTCAGTTTATTTTTTGGACAAAAAACTCAATATAGGGGCCCCCGAGTGGCCCTGTCATCAAGAGATCGGGAGTTTGCTCCCTGGTGATGCTACAGCCGTCCGTAACCGGGAGTCCAAGAGAACACAATTGGCCTCGTTGTCTCTGGGTGGGTAGGATGGCCCCTCCTTCTCCCCCCATCACCCAGTCCTATGCTAGTCAGCACAGAGGTCTGTTAGCTGGCAGTTGGTGCTTTCCTCTGAACGGATTCAGCTGTCTAGTGACGTTGCGTGAGCAGCAGTTTGAAAAGATGCAGTGGCGCTTCACAGGACTCAGAGGAAGCCTGTATTAGCCTCGGTCATTACCCATAGCTCATGATCATAGGTGAGGGTCGGGATGTAGACTGACCGGTAAACCACTACAGTCCAGTACAGTGACCACATTACTGCTGTCGCCTGTCCCAGCCTGCGGCCGATCTCACCATCCCTCTTCCCATCATTCGTGAACAAGACCCCGAGATACTTAAACTCCTCCACCTGGGGCAGGTCCTCCCACCTTACCTGGAGCGGGCGTGCCATTCTTTTCTGGGCTGTTCTTTCATACTTTAATTCTTTTTATCTTCAATATTGTTGTTAATAACGAATAATTAATATGTACAAATAAAATAGACATTAAAAAGTAATACACTTCCATTGTGTAACCTCTTCTGCTCCAATATCTGTCCACATCTTCAGGCTTATTTTTCATTAACTACATGGACACCTCTCTCTGTTATCTCTGATATCTCTCTATCTTACTCTCTCTCTCTCTGTTCTCCTTCTCTTTCTCTTTCTCTCTCTCTATTATCTCTGCAGATAGACAGGCAGATGCATGGAGATTAGGTTGAAAAGTGCCAGACTGTTCCTTGAATTTCTGAAAAACATATATTTTCAGTGCCTCCATCTACTGACAGCTGAAGAACAGTTTAACAGGGTTTTGGCACTGTTTGTGTTTCCTATGATCTCTAATTATTACCTCTTCTCAAAAGTATATCTAGATTAAAAACTCACTCTGTAAACAGGATTTAGAGAAGTTTATGCCTTTTCTCCAGCAGACTGGACTACTGTAGTGGGCTGCTCAGTGGACCCCACCCAAAAAAACCCAACATATTCAAAATGCACTGCTTATCAGGGCAAAGAGAACTGAGCATATTAGTCCAGTATTAAGAGCCTCACATTGGCTGACAGTTAGTTAAAGAGTTGCTCCTTCTCCTAACACCAGAATCTCTGATCTACTGGAAGAATACAAACCTAACAGGCCTGTCAGATCGAGACTGGTCAGCTAGCAAAGTTTAGAAACTAGAACCGAGCACGGTGAGGCAGCATTTAGGTCTTATGTTGCCCAAAGTTGGAACAAGCTGCCTGAGGGTCTCAGATATCCCTTGATTTTGTTTGGCACTGTGTAAATGTCTCAGTAAATCTGCAGGCCAGTCTGATCTGATCATAATAAAAGTGTCCACAGTGTAAGGTGGTCTACTCACCGGTCTGAGCTGTTTGTATGGGGCCGTAGAGCAGGAGACACATTAAGAATAGAAGATTCATGGTCTTCTGTCTGCACGGAGTGCAGTGAAAGCTATGTCTCTGTTTGGTTTTGATGAGCCAACTACAGGAACTGCCGTTTGCACACTGTCGCACTTTCACAGAAGATTAAAAACCCTGTTCCTTCCGTCTCAAACAGTTTCCTCCTTTCACAATCCACACACACATCAGCACAGAAGCTGAGTTTGAAATTAGCAGAAGCGCCAGTCTGAAATTAACTTTTTACTTTTTTACTCTTTGTGTAGATGGTAGATGGTTCATCTGTTTGGCCTCTCTGATATATTCTAGGTTCATACGGTCTGTTAGAACCAGAAATCAGTGCTGGGCCGCCCTTTACCAGTGTCTCCACTTCAAATGCTGCTTTCATGACAAACAGCTCCTTATTTCTTATGTCATAATTATGCTCAGTATCAGTTCGTTTCCTTGTATAAAGGCAACAAGGGTGCAACCTGGGTGGATTGCCCGCACCCTGGGACAGTATAGCTCCTATGCCAGACTCCAAGGCATCCACATCAACCACAAACAGAGTGAGGTAAACAGGGCTTTCAATTCCCACTTGTCATATCCCTGAGCACTTCATTAATCTTCCACTTACCCCCTTTTCTGAGTTTAGTGAAAATAGCAGATCCTCTAATTAGTTCTAAGGCCGCAGGCTCCAAGGGATGACCCTGTCCCCCGCAACTTCCTCCAGCTCCATTCCTGGGGACCCCAAGCCTCTCCCAGGCCAACTTGGAGATATAATCCCTCCAGCAGGTCCTAGGACAACCCCGGGGTCTTGTCCCGGTCGGCCGTGCCTGGTATACCCCCACCAGGAGGTGTCCAGGGGGCATCAGATGCCCGAACCACCTCAACTGGCTCCTCTCAATGCGGAGGAGTAGTGGCTCTACTTCAAGGTCCTCCCGGATGACCAAGCTCCTCACCCTACCAAGTAGAGTGTAGCCTGCCACCCTGTGAAGAAAGCTCATTTCCACCGCTTGTATTCACAATCTCATTCTTTCGGTCATTACCCACAGCTCATGACCATAGGTGAGGGTTGGGGTGTAGACCGACCGGTAAACAGAGAGCTTTGCCTTATGGCTCACTTCCCTCTTTACCACTACAGTGTGGTACAGTGACCGCATTACTGCTGCCAACTGTCCCAGCCTGCGGCCAATCTCACGATCCCTCTTCCCATCATTTGTGAACAAGACCCCGCGATAGTTAAACTCCTCCACCTGGGGCAAGTCCTTTCCCCTTACCTGGAGTGGGTATGCCATCCTTTTCCGGGCTAGGACCATGGTGAGTGCTGGAGGCATCCATGCAATCCAGCCAAAAGAACAACATTGTCTGCAAATAGCAGAGACGCCACCCTCTGGCCTCCACACATAATGCCCTCCTGACCTCGGCTATGCCCTGACACCCTGTCTATGAATATCATGAACAGCTGTGGAGACAGGGCACAACCCTGGCAGTGTCCAGCGCTAACACTGAAAGAGCCTGACTTAATGCGGAGTATACGAACACAGCTCCCACTCCGGGAGTACAGAGATCGAATGGTTTGGAGTAGTAGCCCCAGCACCCCATACTCCCGGAGGAGTTTTGTCCATAACTGGATCTTCAAATTCAAATTATATCTAAGTGAATGCTGCATGAGAGATTGACTTGAGAGATTGAGGTTTTTTTTTGATAAAATGGCCAATGAGTACAGGTAAGTGCCTAATTATGTATTTTGTGGATTTTTAAAAATGTAAAGTATTAAACTCAAACTTTGCAGCAAAACTTTACTGCAAATGTTAATATTATTAAGAGCGTAACATTGTAACCTATTTTAAATGTTAATAGGAACTGTGAGTCGATGACAATTACAGAGCATAACAAAGCCTCTGACTCTTCAAACCTTGAGCTAACACTCAACAACCATGGGTTCCTCTGAAACCTTGGGTACATTACCTGACTTGTAAATGTTAAAAACTCAGCATCTCACACTATCACATTGTTTTTTTGGGTGACTGAAATATTGGGGATCACACAATAATCGATTAGGGATCAACACTACTCTGCTGAGCTCACTGAACTCTCGCAAACTCTCGTGAACTCTCGTTGCTAGGTGACCCAAATAAACGTGGAGCTGCTGCTGCTGCTGGTTTCTCTGCCGCAGTGAAGAAGCAGCAGGTATGCATGTTTATGTGAGGATCATGGATTTTAGAATGTGGCGAGTTTTAAACATACATAAAAACTTGATTGTGCTCGTGCCTTAAACTCAGCTCATTAAAAAGCTTCGCTCCACCCATGAGTGATTTTTCACCATTTTCTTTGTTTATTTGCTGTATTTTCTGTTTTCATTGGCTGTTGCAGGAATCTGTTCTGATTGAGTTGTTGACCAGTTTACACTAGATTACATGACGAAATAGAGTCATGACGAAAAAATCAAACATGTTTTAAACTCTGACTGGTCTGAGGCCACAAATCTGAATCTGTGCCCCTCACACAGGACTCGATTCTCTCTCCAACTGTCGACTCTGACTGACCCAAAAATGACCTTCAAGCTCACAATTTTCACTGTCTGAAATGTCATTAAGAAATGGCAGTTAAGGGGAACTATGAAGGTCAAGGCAAGATCTGAAAGGCTAAGTAAACTCTCAGAACTGCTTGTATGCTGACCAGAAAGGCAAAGCAAAACCCCCACATGACAGCAAAGGACCTGTAGGGAGGATTCATTGATACAAGAGTGGCGGTGCAGCGTTCTGCTGTGCAGGGTTATTAAACAAAAATTATCTGCATGGAACAGTCATGAAACAAAACAACAACTAGATCAGCCAGAGGCATTTTGGAAATAAGTTCTGTTGATGTGATGAAGTAAAAATTAAACTCTTTGGCCACAATCACTAGACGTATGTTTGGAGACAAAAAGGAGCAGCATTTGGTGAAGAGAACACCTTGACAGCTGTTAAACATGGGGTGGATCTATTATGCTTTGGGGTTGCATGGCAGTCAGTGACCCAGGAAACACTGCACAGGTAGACAGAAGAATGGATTCCACACCTTTTACTTCACAAAACAAAAGTTGCATTACAAGCCACAAACATTTGCAAGCTGTGACATCTGCTAAAGTAGAGGCGTTACTAGGCCTGACTTAGTAGAGCAACCAAACATTTGCACAATTACTGTTTTATTTACTTCTACTAGTTAATGTAATCAGATATAAAATAACTTTGCATTAACATTTGCAGAAAAAATGTTTGAAATGAAATAATAATAAATCGCATCATTTCTGCACATGTTCTGCAATTCTTTTTGCCTTGAAATGTTATTTGGCCAGGATTGCCCAAATTTTGCATGCAACTGTATTTCTTGGTCTCGTACTGTTCGGTCCTGTAAACACTTGTGCGGAGCCCGTCCTGAATGCTGCACAAAGGCCCTGGAAGAACACTGTTTCATTTCACTGTATGCTTCACATGGGCTGACAAATGTCTTCTTGACGTGACATGATAAGCTGACTCTGGTGGGTTAGAGCTGGGGAACATGCAGAGGGTGGGGTTCCCCGGACTATGTTTACTACTAAAGAAGGTGTTAACCACAAATAGAAACTTGTGTGCCACAGCTTACCTCTTTCACTCTAAAGAGAAACGACTAAGATTTGACCTTTTGCTCTGTCAGTATCACTGACTACAGAACAGAAAAACACACAAGGCAGCATGAGCTCTATTATCTGATAAACAATTGAACAGGTAACCAAAACAGAGCAAGTGAGCACAAAGCTCAACTGGTTAATGCACACATTATCAGTCATGCACCCCTCACCCCAGCACCCCACCTCAAATGTAGTTGATCAGCCAAGATATATTTACTACCTAAAGTTTTCCTCTTTCATTTTTATTAGGCAGGGCTGAAAGTAAAGGCTACAAGGCTAATGTAGCTAACAAATAAAGGAAGTGTATGGCCTCAAATTAGCATGGTGCTAACTGCCTGCTTAAATAATCACACTTGCCTCAAACTGTGAAGTTGTTAATCTTTAATAGCCTTGATTTTGTGGTCTCTGACGCTGTATAACCCACATCCCCAAATCACACGATTGACTTAAAGTCACATGGCTCAGAGGATCTCACATTAGACGTGATCTCATAAGATTCCCTCTTTTTCCTAGTTTATATTGAGGGGATGATTATGTACTGTAATCGTATATTCAGTATTATGTGTAATGTGTTTTAATGTGTATGTGATCTGTGTGTTCTGTGTGGACATCCTGGGGGACATTCTGTTCTGTCATTCTTGTCTGTCCCTATATGGCCACTTCTGTTTTCTGTTGCTCTGTGATGTATTGGCTATGCCTAATCTTGATATCAGTCCACCTATTTAAACTGAACTCCTACAATGTTGTGCGTCTCAGCTTATTGTCTGTCTGTGAATAAATGTGTGCATAAAGAAATAAAGTCTACTTCCAGACGCAAGGCTGAGCTCCCTGATTTGATTCCTGGATTCATGAAGAAGGTTAAATTCAATGATATATAAGACCTTTAAGATTTGTCTGTTCTGTGAAACTGAATGGGTGCAGACAGTGATTTAAACTATTATATTAACATGTTCATCTTTTCCTCAGCTTTAAATAAGGAGCATACTGCAAGGCCCAGCCTGCGCCACCAGCCGCCAGCAGAGGGCAACAGCGGTGAGGCATCACAAGTTCAGGGAACTCCATTTTCCAGAAGCCCTTGGGCTGATTAGGCCTGACCTGGAACACCTGTGGACTCCTCTACTTAATGCCGTGATAAACAGCAGCCCTTTGTCATATCTTTGTAGAGGGGTGATCGGTACGGTACTTAGCCCAGGTAGGTATTTAAACAAAAAGACAAGAAAAGGAAATAGAAAAGAAAAGAGGGCTGGAAACACAAAAGAGAGAAACTGCCCCAAAACTACTTAAAAGCTGCAAAAGAAGGCTTGAACATGAAACAGCTCCAAGCCATATAAAAGGTGTTTGCGCCATAAAGAACAAACAGGTGAAACGTAAAGCTGACCTTCCTCTCAGAATTACAGAGGAAGT